CACGCTCTGATGTCCTATAAGCCATCAACAGTGGAGGGAGTAAGACATCCCAGTCATCTTGGCGGCTATTCCTGTCTCAGTGTCCAGTTTTACTTTCCCACCATCCCATCAGACTGTGGGTGAAGTGGCGTTGTCCTGGTCTTTCGGATGCTAAACAACTTGCAGCATTCTTGGAACACAGCTGATTCGAAGTTACGGCCTTGATCTGAATGCAGTTCATATGGCATACCAAATCTGAAGAAGAAGTCACTAATAGCCAAAGCTACAGTTGTAGCTTCCTGATTTAGTATTGCATATACCTCAGGCCACTTAGTGAAATAATCCATCACCACACAAATGTATTCGTTTCCAGCACGAGTTTGGGGCAGAGGACCAGCATTGTCAATGGCTACTCTTTTCATTGGTGTGCCAACTTGATATAACTTCATTGGAGCACGTCCCTTATGCTTGGGTCCCCTTTTAGCACAACATGTACTGCATGTTCTGCACCATTCTTCCACATCTTGCCTCATACCTATCCAGTAAAATCTTTGTCGTAGGTGACTCAATGTCTTCTTAATTCCGAGATGTCCTCCTCTTAATGTATCATGGGATTGACGCAGCACAACTTCCCGTAACTTTCTCGGTATAACCGTTTGCCAGGTCGTCACTTCCCATCTCCAGAGAAGAATACCATCTTCAAGCTTACACTGGTCAATTGTGCCCAATAGTTCTTTGTCACAGGGCTTAGACTAGACACCTTCTCCTAAGCAGGGCGCAAAACACTTGCTTTTAGAAAATCAATCATTGGCTTCAAATCTTGGTCTTTCTCCTGTTCTGCTTTGATATCTATTTTGGTCCCACTTCATCATCATCAACTCTTTCAGTTGGCTTGACTTCAGCTTGGTGGCACCTGGTTAGTTCAACCTCTCTTTTTCAGCAATGTCTGCAGTCACTTTTGCAGGGTCTTCGACTCAGTCCATCGGCATTACCATGAGATTTTCCCTCTCTGTATTCCATATCATAATTATACTGGTCTATCTTTCCAAT